CTTAATGCACCCCAGGATCCCATTGGCCTTCTTGGCAGCCAGGGCACACTGCTGGCTCATGGTTAACCTGTTGTCCACCAGGACACCCAGGTCCCTCTCCGCAGAGCTGCTCTCCAGCAGGTCCACCCCAAGCCTGTACTGATGCATGAGGTTGTTCCTCCCCGGGTGCAGGACCCTGCATTTGCCTTTGTTAAACCTCATCAGGTTCCTCTCTGCCCAACTTTCCAGCCTATCCAGGTCACGCTGAATGGCAGCACAGCACAGCCTTCTGGTGTGTCTACCGCTCCTCCCAGTTTGGTGTCATCAGCAAACTTGCTGGGCAATGCCTGCCATTCGGTGCCGATTCATCCCTCACCTCTGGCAGGCGTTAGGCAGCAGCATTTGCTCTGCAGCTTCTCTCTCACCGCTCACTGCTTGGCTATTAAATAGCCCTCTGCGCTGAGCACCAAGGTGTCGCCTCAGGAAGAGGGCCATGGACCTTGCGCTACTGTCTGAGCCCACAGATGGGTCCTAGCTTTATATTTAGGCAATGAAGACTGATGCCGTAGGAGGGACAGTGAAGGAACAGACATAAAAAAAGGCGCAATTCCTAAAGCTCTCCATGCCAACAATGGCAACTGCAAGCATTCTGCTTAATATTTCTGAGATGTTTGGACCGTATTGAGCTCAGATGAATATAGACTGGTTTGTGGCATGTTGTACCTTTTTGCTCTTCCAGCTCTCTGCATGAAAATTACAAAATGCCCTTCAGTTTAACATGGCTGAGTTTAAAAAACCTAATTTTAAAAGTCTTAACTTTTTCAATGAATTGAGGGATTTGGTGGTATTTCCTGACCCGGTATTGTTTGGTATTGTTTCCACAGTCTCACTGATTTGATTAGAGTGATATTAAAGTTAGTGACAAAGCAAAATGCCAACATTATGAGTTTCTGAAGCTGTCTCCAGGTTCTTTTCTATTCCAAAATTTGAAGTTTTTTTAGAATATGGATTTTTAGAGGCTTTAAAGGTGATTTGCTATAGAACATAGAAATTAGAAATGCACACTAGCCTCTAGGGACCATGCACGGAATCAGTTTCTTCTAAAAGCTGTAAGATTAGTGCAGAGGTGGAAAAAGAAGTCTGTATAGTATCTTTTGTTTCTGGTCTAAACCTCAGTGTTGTAGAGTGTGGCTGTCATACTGTTACAGATAATTTCTTAGTCTGTCTGGGTATGTTGACAGACTGAGGACTGAAGAAGTATCATTTGAAGTATGTCTCAGCCAAACTATTTTGAGGGAGCAACCAGGTTGCTGATATGAAAAGGACAGATTTTTTTTTTTTCTTCTTTTGGCCCTTCCACTTGCATTCCTGAGCAACTTGCAAAAACGAGCATGGTTTGGAAACTCCTGTCTGAGCTCTCCAAAAGCTTTTAGAAGATCTTGGTTTAAGATTTCATGTTCCTTACAAATCTTTGCCACCTGAGAGAATGAGACATGCCCAGGAACAGGTCGTTTTTCCTCTCTACCTCGCTATGCAGCCCTGTTGCTGAAGGAGTGCCTGTTGTGGTTACTGTGGAAGTGAATACATCATAGCATGGCATTAATGCCTGCCTGTAGCATCAAGTGCTTTGGAAGGAAGAGATGCATTTGATATTTGGGCACAGATCTCTCTAAGCATATTGGGGCAGAAAATGCAAGGAATTAAATGAATTTATGGTTTAGGAGGTGGCATCTGAGGATTGCTACACCTAAGCATATGTTCTCTTGTTCTCTGGTAAAACATACCATGGCAATTGTGCTGCATATTCTTGCAATTTCTGTTTGCTTGTCTGTGCAGCTGATGACACTGTTGTTACTGTGTTTGTGGCATTGTTTCTGGTATTGTTTAACAGCAACCTTCCCCTTTATTGGTACTGTTGCTGATGATGTGCCATATGTACACATGCACATTAGAGTGTAAGAACATCATCCCTAATTGTTCTTGGGTAGCTGTCAATGCCACTTACAGGGTATGAGTACTAATTGCTTTGGAAATACAAAGAAACGGATATCTGGTCTTGCTATTACTCTGTTTTTTCTACTCACTAGAAAAATTGCAGTGCTTCCAACCACGCTGGATTTTGTGAAGTGTTTAAATAGATGAGAATTCAATAGATCGAAGCAGCTTATTCCACAAGTCTGTTCAGTTCCTTGTCAGGCGGCTACAGATCTAGTGCAGGCTCAGGCAGGATTCCCGAGTTCTGACAAAGATTTCCAATGTGAGTCTGGGAAATCATCAAACCTCTTGGAATTGATTTTTGTTTTTCTCCTGATTGCAGAGGAAAGGTGATGTTTTATCTAAGGGTAAAACAGCCTTCCACACCAGCCTAGAAAGAATGTGTTCCTTCCTTCTGCGAAGTACTCTGGACTTTTCAGCTGAAAGACACTGTTGGTCATTTGACCCACGGTGGTGATTGCTGCTCCCTCTTATTTCTCTGTTAGGACTAGATGACTCCAGCTAAGATTAGTATGTGTGTCACTGGTAAAGTGGTAGTAAGTGGGTGAAGATTCATCTTCACGCATCTTTCTGTGCTTGTTTTCCCTGCAGGAGGAGGAACACTGATCCTGTCTGTGCAAGCCTGCAGTCTGAAATTCTGAAGTGCTACCAAGAAAACAAACGTGAAGTGCTCAAATGCTCAGAGCTGGCTAAGGAATATCAGCGCTGCGTTAGTGCAGCTCAGAAGGTAACAAAAGCTTCCCTGTTGTACTTGCTGGCTTTGCTGTCTTCTTTTGCATGGTAATTTCTTCTGGGAAGTGTTTGAGAGCTGTGTTATCTGTTAGTCGAATTGCAGCGTTCACAGGAGACAAATTTTCCTTAGAATCCATTTTCCCACATTCATTCCACCATTCATGCTCCTAGGTTTCAGAGTTCGTCATGATGATTTTCCCTTGCCTTCTTGGATGCTGTACTCTGCAAACGGTAGGCAGATCCATTTTGCCAGTGTCAGCAACGTTTTGATGGGCTCTAAACATCCTCCCGTTATGGGACTTCACAACTGGAGGTCTTGCTTCCTAGTGTTGCTGCATGGGGAAAGCTTCTTAACTGGACAGAGCTGCTGCCTCTTGAGAAAACTGCAGACTCCTTAAAGCTGTTAGTCTAGTGTGGGGAGCTGGAAAGCCTTATGGCTCTTCCTTCAGAGATGCAGAGCCCTAGTAGATTCTGTTGATACCTTAGGACAGTGACTGTTCAGTAACTTGGAAGAGTTTCTGGCTATTGAAACAAGTGAAGGAGAAAGGAAAAATGAAGTATTTGGACATTAGATCTACGATATGGTCTTGGGAAAAGTAAGTGGTAAGGCATAAGCTGCTGCTTGGGATGTCTGGAGAGTAAAGGATGCTGTTCCCATGTGAGAATTCAGTGGGTCAGGTGTCCCTTGAGGGCAGGCTTTCCTTTTTTGGGAGGAGGAGTGTAGAAAATTCTCCAAAAGGTGCTGAGACTATGGTAAGGTGGGTTTGGGGAAAAGGAAGGAGCCTTCTGGGAACAGAAAACGGAGGCTTCTCTCATGGGATTATTAATGCGGAAGGTGGGGGAGAGGTGGAGATTTCATAGAAGCAGTCTTTCTCCGTCGCATTAGCATGGTGAGGGGAAGCTGCATGCCTGATTTAAGTATAACATGAAACAAGCTGCCAGCCGGCTCCCAGAAGAAGCCCGACAGAAGGAGATGGGAAAATTGTCAGGATATATTAGACCAAATGTTGTTGCTAGTCCTAGTGGAATTTTTTTCCTTCCTGTTTACAAAGAAGGTCTTTGTATGTCTGCAAATCAGCAAGGTTAAAGCTGCCAGGGAAAGGGCTTTTCTCTGATATCTTTGAAGTCCCCAGCTCCCAAAACGTGTAGTTTCTTTTTCTTTCTCAGCTTTAAAGTAAAGTGGTGCCTGTGCTGCTGCTGCACGATCCGTGCCCTCTGTTGCTGTGTGCAGAGCACTGACGCATCTATTGCCAGCCTCCGTTACCTGGTGCTTCCTCCTTGCCTCCTGTAAATCGGGCTTGTAGCCTTTTCAGTGGAGCGTATCTTTAGCAAATGCATTTACCAATACATCTTTATTGCATGCGGTGCGGGTGGAATGTGATTACCAAAGAAGACAGATTGCATTAAACTTCAGCATATTTGCAAGCTGCGGCTCCAACCCGCCTGAGAAAGGCGCTGGGACGCTGCCAGCCCTGGGCCCCAGCCCGACGTTATTAAAGAGTAAATTGGAAGCTAAATGACTGGTAACAGCAGAGGGCAGTGAAAGATCCTATTAGCTTGGATCTTTTCTGGATTTGTGTAATGGTGGGGTTTTTGGTAGGTTTTCTTTATAAACCAAAAACTGAGGATCGTCTTGGTTCCCAGCGTGTGCAGTGAACTTAAGAAATTTTTTTCCCCCTGTTTTAGAACCTTCTGGATGGAGCAGTGCATAGGACACAAATTTGTTGTGGATGATGACAATGTGGCAGAGAATCTCCTTGCTATGTTTTAAGAGGGGGTGAAACAGACTAAGGAATAGGTAACTAAACTTTGCAGCTAGATATAGGCGATAGAAGGTTCTGCAAGTACAAATTCAAGTAAAACTTGTGTAAGGCAGTAGATCTTCTGCAGTTTCCTTTGTCCCAGGACAGCTCAAGCTCTGACAGTTTGCCTCACTGCTCTTACTGAGTCCTCTGACTCCTGAGATATATGTAGCGATCACAAGCTGTTGTGTTTTTCATGAAGGATTATAACTCACTCCTCCCTTCCCCTTTTAAGCTGTTATTTTTCTTTAAATTAGCATCTTCTACCAAATGGCTTTGTCTCACGCATTCCTCATTCAGGAAATTCAGGTTGGAGGAATGTGGGAAAGAGAGGCCAGAATCTCATGATTTCTTGGGTGGCTTTTTCCTTTTTTTAAACACAATTTGTTTTCCAGTACAGGAGGTTGTAATCAAAGCTGGATGTGTGACTTCAGCTCACTTGCACGCTGGTGATTTGTTCTTCTGCTTTTTACTGAAGATTTTAAGGCTTGGTGAATATTCTTTAATGAAGCATCTGGTTCTCTGCAAGTTCCTTTTGATGGCTGATAAAAATGTCTTCAGGGCATGGTATACATTAGACTCGAAGAAAGCAAGCTCTAGATTTCTAGACTGAACATTACAGCTTACAGTGAATGAGAATAATTCTTTGCATCTTCCCCCTTACTGTGTTGGTTTGAAACTGTTGCTTTGGGCACCCATTTCACTTTGCCTTCTGCTGTGCCCATCTCTGAACCAGGAGCTGAGATGCACCCTCAGTTACTTCTGCCCCATGGACAAATTTATCAGGCAATCATTTAACAAGTTTTGAAATTTATTTTCTACTCATATCCTGTACAGGCCCTCTTAGTGGAACAGGTTACTTTATTGCGGTGCATGGTAGGGGTATAACTGATGTTACCCAGTTTGTATGTTTTCTGGCCATCAGGGCTCCTGTTGTAGACAAGGGAGAGAAATAGGCACCGCTAAAGCATGGCACATCTGACCCTAAAATAGTTATCTGAAGCAGGTTGGCTGAATTGCCATGCACAAGCGAGTATTGCTCTCTGCCACTTGGGAGACACGTCCACGCCATGAACTCCAAAGCCAATGCCTGTAGTGCGATGTTTGCAGAGTTATGGGAGCAGGATCCTGCTCCCATTGTCCGCCCTTGTAGCCAGCATGCTTTCGTCTTGCCCTGCCTGCCCTGCTCACTAACTTTGCCATTTGCACCACCCTGAATGTTAAGTTTTGGTTGCGATGCCGCTGGCTCGCTGCAGCGGCGTCAGCCTGCTTAGGGTCTGGGTTGCTTGCTGCATCCTGTGCTTTGCTTGTGTGGAAGCTCTCTGACTTCAGAGTATGTTACTGTAACATCTCCTGTTTAATTTAGGAGTGTTTTATCTTTTCTGGTGGTCTGTTTCATGGCTCTGCAGAACTTTAGCTACAGCATAAAAATCGCTGGCTTTAAATCTAATAAAAGCTGGGATAATGGGACAGCTGTAGGAGGGGCAGTTCCCATTGTGTCTCTTAAAATTGCCTGTAGTTTATTGACCGCAAGTTTCACCAAGGGCTACTGCTGCCGTTAGATAATGAGAACTGAAAATTGCTGCTGCTGTTTCCCCAAGGTTTTGTCTCGTGCCAATGAGAAGAGGGTGTGGAACGAAAAGGAGAGTTGGCAGTGGAAACCTGCGTAATTTCTTACTTTGAGTCCAGATGGAAAGGGAAAAACAATTTTTTTTTTTTTAAATCTGAGTCCTGTTACTGAGTTACTTCCCTCCCCCATGCAAATATGCACTCACATACAAGCTTTTCAGGATATTTTGTGACCCATTCTGCTTCCCTTACATCTTGTTCACACTAGTAGGCAAATCTGAATTTCCATTGGATTTCAGTTGGCTTATTTGTTATGTAATTGGTGGTTATACCAGGGAATCTCCAGCCAGCTGCCACTTGAAAACTGCAGCCTCCAGAGACCGTGTATTAACGTGATTTGAGATTTCAAACAGAACCTGCTTGTTGTGACTCCATGCAGAAAAATGTCTGCTAGTGAAGAAGATGTATCCCTTTCTTTCCAAGTGTTTTGTTACTGTCTCTAGGTGCCTGTCTTTCACAGAAGGACCAAGGTGAAATTTTTGCGCTCTAGCTCCTGGCCAAACCAAGCTATAAAGAGCTGCATACTCAGACACATGTATTCCCTTGTCAATAGGAGCTGTATACATTGAGCTAGGAGCCATTCGTGATTCTGCGCTGCTTCTCACTATTCTGCGTCCAGCTTCTCACGAGTCTGCTATTCAAAACAGACAAAGGTAAACCTACTTCTGTCAAGGCTTTAGGGCTTGTCTACATAAGGAAATTACAAGGCAATAAACTAGTCAGTGAGTTTATGGTACGGCAGCTTCTCTGTGTATGAACGTTCTGGGTTTGTAATGGAAGTGCAGGGAAAATTCCCACTCGTTTACGGAGAGTCACTCTGCTGTGCAAACAAGACCTTGTGAAACACTGATGGTCTGGATTCCAGCTGCCGGTAGACTTTTAACATAGCCGTGAGTCGACTGCATACTCCTTTGCCCTTGACTGTAATAAGAAGAAATGTGGTCAATTTGCTGCTCCTGCTTTTCCAAGTGATCCCTGGGAAAGCCCAGTTCCTGTTTGGTGCGCACAGCAGAGCAATGCAGCTCTACTGGGAGTGTGTCTGTGGGCAGTGACCTGGATTCCTGAGAAGATGCCGCAGGTAGTCGTGCAGTGTCCCATCCTGATGGAGCAGTTTCGCTCCAGAAACCTGCTGAATCGTGGCCTGCTGGGAGCTGTCATTTCCACAACCGGATTCTCTCTTTGCTTAAGAGAAACAGCTTCGGGGTGCATTGGATGCCATGGGCTGCACTGCAGGTGTGTCTGATCATTCTGGATCATTAGGCTCTTGTTGAAGAGTTGTTTCCATTCTGATCGGTTGCAAAATGCTTTATATATTGTTTCTGTACTTATTAGGGTAGAGAGTAGCAGTCTCTGTGTGTGGCTGGGGAAAGAAAGTGTTGGCCAGGTATAGTGAGGTCCGTATCTGTACTTGACGAACGCCAGGATTTCTCCTCCCCTGGGATTCTGCAGAGGTAGATCTTAACTGTCAAAGTCTCATCGAGGAGATATAAACATATCACAAGGTATGCTCCTTGAAATGCAATATATCTAACTTGCAAGGCTGTAAGGTTGTTTGAGCTTTCTG